AGCTGAAATGGTGGTAAAAATGTCGGTGTTGTTGCTGCTGTTTTGTTTGGGTTTTGGGGTAGGTAGGGACAGAGGTGAGGATCTAGAAGGAACTGGGGGAGGGGACATAATATAATCAAAATATATTGTATGAATTTTTCAGCAATAAAAATATGCTTTTGAAACAACTTAAAAATAAAAATTTAACCAGATAAATATTTCCAGAGCCATGGCCTCAAGAGCCAGTTGTCTGAAATGGGCAATGCATAAAGGGAACTCACCCAAACTCCCAGGGCCTTGGAACACCACCCTGGAGCAAGATACAATGTTTTATCAAAAGAGGGAACACAGTCAAGAGGACAAAAGTTAGGTGAGTGGTGGCTGTGACCCCAGGCTGTTCCTCAAGGAGCCCTGGGGGAGAGTGTCCAATATGGGGAACGCTGTCCCAAGTAGGAGTTTCCTTCATGTTGGGCCCATATGTTTCCATTGACATCACAGGAGTCATGGTGGAGTCTGGTTACACAGGGTACTCTCTAGGGCTGGGCTCAAGGACACAGCATTTCATTAGGGAAAAGAGTTCTCAGAAACACAAATGCAAACATGTGAGACACAGGAACATAGGTACAACCTCACCGAGGGGTATAGATGTGTTCACTAAACACAAGCTCACCGTGTCAACCAGCCGTGTTGTATCAAGATGGTGGAAAACAACTTTCTTTGAGGGATGAGAAACCCAGGCCTCCAGGTGTCATTCGGAGACAGCAACACTATTGCTGACTGCTACATAACATGGGATGCTACTCACTGGATACAAATGTCAAAAACACAGCAGAAGCATAATGATCCGTTTCTGGTACATTCCAGGTCAGGACAGAAAGGATCATGTTGGACTGGCTGTCACTAGAGGAACAAAGAGGCAGTACCCTTGGCATCCACAAAGACCAGCTTGACAGAGGCATCAAACCCAGGCACTGATCAAGAAGTGTCTCTTGAGGAACATGGATATCAGCAAGGACATTCTCAGGAAGATTTCAGTTTTTCAGGAGATAAGACCAACAATTAATAAATAAGACCTCATGAAATGAAAACAAACAGAATGCACTCCAAAGGACACAGTTCATTGAATAGAGAGGCACAGAAGTGAAGAAAATACCCTCAAATTATAAATATGACAGGATTAGTATCTAGAATATAACAAAAACTAGCAGAACCTAAGCTATACATACTCTAGTAGATGGTTCTACACTATGTGCATACAGGCAGCATTAAATGAACCCAGTAAATTAGAGAGAGAGCATGATGAGTATACATGAAGTTGGGAATGGAAAGTGATGGTAGGGATAGTAGCAGTTGGAGTGTGGATTTGATCAAGACACATTATATTCATGTATGAAATTCTCAATCAGTAAAAAAGAAGGAAATATCTTTCAACAAACTCAAAAAACCTAATTAACAAATGGAACAAAGAGACATTTCTCAAAAGATGAAACACAAATGGCCAATAAACATATAGGGAATGTTCAACTTCACTAGCCGTCAGAGATGCAAATGCAACCCTGGGGAAGGGTTAGAGATGGCACAGTGCTTAAAAGCACCTGGCACTCTTGTAGAGGAGCCAGCACCCACATGACAGCTCACAAACGTCTGTAAATCCAGTACCAGGAGACTCAACTCTCTTTTCTAGCCTCTGAGGGCACCTTACATATGTGGTACGCATACATTCGTGCAGTCAAATGCACATAAAAATACACCTTAAAAGAACCAACACCAAAATTCAATCTTACTTCCGAATATGACAATTTTGTTAATGAAATGAAATTGTCTTAATGACAGTCATTAAGAAAATGAAAACCCAATCAATGCTAGTGAGGATGTGGACCTAAGGGGACTCCTATATGCTGCTGGTGGGAATGTAAGTTAGTCCAGTCACTACGGAAGTCAGTATGGAGGTTCAGAAAAAAAAAAACACGTCGCTGTTTACCAGTGCAGCACCAGTCATAACCAACCTAGACGTCCAGCAGCAGAGGAACGGATGAGGAAAATGTGCTATGCACACAATGGGATGTTTTTTACTTTAAGTGTAAATAGCTTGTTTCACATGTCAATTCCAGTTCCCTCAATGGGATTTTTGCCAACCATAAGAAGAATCAAGCTATTTCATCTGCTCTAAAATGGATGGAACTAGAGATAATCATATTAGTGTAAGACAAGAGCCATGTTTCCTCTGATGTCTGGATCCTAGGTTTCATACACGTGCATGAAACTGGGCATGCGCGTGTGTCACAAAAGTGGAAGTGAATCTGTCTGGGGAAACGAGAAGCACCACAAGGGCGGGAGCTGAATGAAGGGTGGGTGGGGAACATGGGGGGGGGCTGTTCAACACTGTATGTACTTGAAAATTCAATTACTGATGTGCTGCCAGGGTGAGTGTCAAGTGTGGGACTAGAGAGTAAGGTGATCCAGATGTGTGAAGACGCCAACCAAGGCCATGGGCGTGCAGCCACCTGGGAACACGTGGCCAACAGCTGAGGCGTCACAGCAATCCGGGAGAAGCTCATTCCCTTGGTGCAGATAGCTGTTACTGCTGCTGGCTTGGGTTTCCAGCTCCTTTAAGCAGGACTTGAGTGTGCTTTAAGGATTGAGTTCTTTAAACAGATGGGGGCAGCCGGGGAAGGGCTGTGGCTCGGGGCCAAACTGCATTGCCTTGATGACTGTGTTAATGAGGGACACTGGTCGTTCCTAGACGACTCTGCCATGCTTCTGATGGTCCTTCTCCAGACCTCTGAGGACCAAAACTTTCTGTCAATCAACCAGGACAGGATGCAGTGAGGAACAGATTGGCCAGAGCCTATGCTTCACCTGTGGATCCCAGGGGTAGGGGTGGAGTTGCAGCCATCACAGAGGACAGTGTCTTCCTAATTGGACACTGGAGGCCAAGAGTCCCAGCCCTGCCAGGTGAGAGCCCTCCCAAGCAGAATGAATCTGACACACACTGCCCGTCTGACAGGGACCTGAGAGGAGCCCAGGCAGAGGCCGTGTCCTCCCTCTTCCCAGGCACCAGAGTCTGAGACAGCAAGAATATGCATACCAGACCCTTCCGGGGACCCAGTACCCACTTAAGTCCTCACTCGCCTCACTGAACTGCCAAGACAGCAATAAGCAGCTTTGAGGACAGACACCAGCAACTGATGCCCATCTTCAGCAAAAACCAGGCTTGCCAGGCCGGGAGATAGGTGTTAGCTGTGTGATCTTGTTGCAGACTGGACTTTCGCCTAGACAAGGTAAGTGTGTTACCTATCAGGACTGCAAGTGTAGGAGACTCCATGGGCTACAAGGCAGCAGGCTAACATTCAGCAGGAAGAGATAGCTTGCCTCAGCAGCAGAAACGCTCCTGACCTGAACAGCTCTGGTCTTGGCCCAGTTTGGGGCCAGTAGTACTGGCGCCTCCTCCACCCTAGGCTTAGCTCGTTAAACAAAAGCTCTGCTACTGCATTCAGAGGGGATAAAGCTCTGTGCCCAGCCAGCTCACATGAGACTGAAGATGGGCATCAGTTGCTGCTGTCTGTGGTCTTTTTTGTTTGTTTGTTTGTTTGTTTTTGAGACAGGGTTTCTCTGTGTAGCATTGGCTGTCCTGGAACTCACTCTGTAGACAAGGCTGGCCTCGAACTGACAGAGATCCATCTGCCTCTGCCTCTCCAGTGCTAGGATTAAAGGTGTGCGCCACCAGTGCCCAGCTGCTGCCTCTTCTTAATGCTATTTAAGGCTTTCCTGGTGGTGCAGTGAGGTGATTGTGGACGTATGTGGGCACCTGGTCCCTGGGAGGGACTGCTATGCACATTCTAGTTGGCTCAGAAGGGGCAGGGTTAAGACAGCACATGCTGTTCCTTCTTTTCACTGTCAACCAGCTGTTCTTCTACTGATTCTGTGGGCACCCTGCATCCTTGGCAAACTGAGAGATACTTGTCTTTGCTCCAGCTGGAAGCAAAGATCCAGATATGGCATGGGGCGTTCCATCACAGAGGAAACTCATGCGGTCAGTGCCAAGACCTCTGGTGGGTGTGTTGAAGAGTGAGCACAAAGCCGCATGTACACATTTGAGCTCGCCTTGGGAAAGCTGACTACATAGTGTTAGGTGAGCTCAAATTTGTCACTCCAAGATTCATATCCCCTTTGTATACAGTATATGGAGAATGGCAATGGTGGGTTTTGTAATAACTGAACCCATCCCAATTCGAGACTTTATTGAGAGCCCAGGATGATGTAAGTTAGACACCTGCCCTGTTTAGCTAAGCTCTTAATATCAGCAGCCTCCTGCATCCATCTCGGGGACCTTCAGAGTAATGACCCACGGTCAGTTGCAAACACAATGCTCCTGTCCTACTGCTGTGGTCCCTAGGATGATAAGAAAGTAACCACATGCAGGCATAAGGCACAAGGCAGAGGCCAGTCTTGTCTGCTTTTCAAGATAGAAGGAGAAAAATATTTTAAGCCCCCAAAGCTACAGTGAAACAGGAAGCAGAGTTGGCAGTAATATCAGGTTAGAAGCCATGAACTGGTCCCAAATACACATGAGTGCCAGTCCCACTGTTTCTCAGAAATGGGCCTCTACAATCGCATAGGTGTTGACTGGCAGAAATCCTTCACATCCTCAAGCAATCAGAGTCTCTTCATGTTGATTGTGACCATGAACCAGGCTTTGAGTCAGAGCTGCCTAGGTGAGGTCAGGTCCTGCAGGGGACACAGGCACAACCTAAGACTGAGAGCATTTTCCTACCCTGAGTCATGCCTGAAGATGATAAGGTCACCCAACCCAGTTGCTGGGAGGTCAGCAGATCCTCATGTAAGATGGGAGGTTAGAGTGGGATTAGGGGGTGGCTCTACAAGATTGTCCCTGGAGATGGAGCACAAACAACTCAGTGACAGCTGTAGGGATGCAGAAGGCTGTCTGCACCTGAGAATCACTCGATTCAAGATGTTTGTCTGTCTCCTCAGGTTCATAGCTCAGCTTCCTGCACAGACAAGGTTCAACACATCTTCATGATTTAAAATAGCCAGAGAAAATGTCCCCTTTCTCGTCATCCTAGCTCGACTGGAAGGAGATCAGAGGACCCAGTGAGCTTTCGCACCGTGGACGGCATGGCATCAACAGGTTCCTGCAGTCTGTGGAGCATCTAAGGGAACCTGTGGACCATCCAACGGCCCCAGTGAAATCTGCTCCCTCTGGCTGCCTCCAACGCCATCTTCTCTTCAGCTGTCCCCACCCATGGCCACACCCATCCACAGGAATGGAAGTTCCTCAGCAGTGTCCTTGCAGGACTTTGTGCTGGTGGGATTTGGGGGAGGTGCAGAGACCCAGGCCCTGCTCTTTGCTGTCTTCCTTGCCCTGTATGTGGTGACTGTCCTGGGCAACCTCACCATGATCATGGTCATCACCCTGGATGCCCGCCTGCACTCCCCCATGTACTTCTTCCTCAAGAACCTGTCCTTTGTTGACCTTTGCTATTCCTCTGTCATTGCCCCTAAAGCCCTGGCCAACTTCCTTTCCTCATCCAAAGTCGTTAGCTTTGCAGGATGTGCCACACAGCTCTTCTTTTTCTCCTTGTTGGCTACTACTGAGGCTTTCCTCTTAGCAGTGATGGCTTATGACCGCTTCATGGCCATCTGCAGTCCTCTGCAGTACCCTGTGACCATGTGCCCCATGACCTGTGCCCTCTTGGTTCTGGGTACCTACTGTGGAGGCTGCCTCAACTCCATTGTGCAGACCAGCCTCACATTCCAGATGCCCTTCTGCAGCTCCAACCGTATTGACCACTTCTACTGTGACGTGCCCCCGCTGCTCCAGCTGGCCTGTGGTAGCACAGCTCTCAATGAGCTCTTTCTCTTCGGTCTCTGTGGGTTCATCATTGTGAGTACCAGCTTAGCTGTGCTGGTCTCCTATGGCTACATCACCGTGACCATCCTCAGGATGCACTCAGGATCCGGGAGGCACAAGGTCTTCTCCACCTGTGGCTCTCACTTGACAGCTGTGTCCTTGTTTTATGGGACTGTGTTTGTCATGTATGCACAGCCAGGAGCAGTGACCTCCATGGCACAGGGCAAGGTGGTCTCTGTCTTCTACACCCTGGTCATCCCCATGCTCAACCCCCTCATCTACAGTCTGCGCAACAAGGATGTGAAGGACGCTCTACAGAGATTGGTGCAGACACACGGTCTTGGGAAGAAGGGAGGCAAGTAGGGATCGTGTCAGCATAATGGAAAGAAACTAACCTTGGAAGATACTAGGGGTCTTTATTTTGCTTTTTTCTTCATTATCCTGTTTCTCTTGCTTTTCTGGTTTACCACATTCTGGTTTTATTCCTTTCTCCCATCCTTTAATCCATTTACCCTTTCATCCATGAACACAGCCATCTGTCCACTGTCTATCCCATCTTTCATGAGTACATATTATTATCCAAGCAGTTACCAAATGTGAATGAGGTCTTTTTTCACCATAATAAAGCAAATGGTTCATGCTAGGAAGAAGCCTGGGTCCCTTTCACTTTGGTTTAACAGAAGGCAGAGTTAAGACAAGAGTCCTTGAGGCAAGCATAAGAACCATTGTCAGCCTCTCCCAGTGAACTGCATGACAGCGCATTTCTCCATGACCCTTTCCTTTTCATTCATCATTTAATCTAATGTCAGTGTGGGAAGAACTTCGCTTTTAGCATCTAAGACTGTGGCCCTTAGAAGCTGTGTGTTGACCCATCCTTACACTGATCCAGTAGAAGGATGGGCTAAAGGGAGAGCAGGCTTCCTATTCAGTTTGACTGTGGTGCTGTCTCCTCACCTTCCTCAGCTCGTGATGCTGCCCTTCTTGTATCACAGTGTATGGCTGGATGCATGAGCAGCCCATATTGCACTGGCTCTAACATATTCCCTCAACCTCCAGCAGTATGCAGACACAGTTAGAGTCACAATTCAGGGAAACTTTAAAACCTGGCCTGGCAGCTTGTGACTTTATCAAGGGGTCCTTGATCACCACACCTGATGCTTCTGCCCAGGATACCTGCAGAGACTGACCTCCAAGCAGGGCTGAAGAGTTCTTCCCATTTCCCCCCTCAGAACTTCCTGCAGGTATCCACCTACTTCCTGTAGCGATCTACTCTCAAGTCTCCAGACTCCAACGTTATTCCCTGATTTTTTGTTCACCTGGCATCAGTGCCTTCCTTTTTCTGGACAGTTCTGGAACATTCTGCTCTGTGAGTGGCCTGCATCTCATGTTTAATGACGTTCTCTCCCTCTTGTCTTCTCTTCTCACAGTCTTTGTTCTCTCATGTGTCTTCCCCTCACTGACCCAGTTGGTTTTGGCTGAAGAGTGGGTGTAACCCGTACCCTCTACTCTTCCTGTCTTCTCCAGTCTTCACCAGTGTGAGTGACCACTTGTAATTTCCAACATTGTCCCATCTTCTTCTTTTTGGAAGTCACTTTTCTCCAGTCTCCTGACCCTTATCATTTGCTGTCTCACATGGCGGCAACATCTAACCTCTCATCTTTCCCAATGGAGATGTATATTTTCAGATGCTTCGTGCTGCTCCTTAGCAGTATTTCCACCTGGGAACCTCTTCCAGCTCTTCCTGCAAGCTAGGTCAAGTATGAGAAACTTCCTTGGTATCTATTTCTCTGAAAAAAAAAACCCTTCCTTGCCTCCTTGCCTTCCTTATTTTATTTAGACCGGAGAGTAAATGCTGAGAAATAGCCAGTGGTATTGTGTCTGTCCTTGCATGTAATGCCTCTTTTCAGCTGCTGCTTTAAGAAAACATTTTATATTTTGATTTTTATAATTATCTTATGTAGACACTATTAGTTTTAGCCCCTGAAAGATCTCCATAGCTTCTTGAATTGGGGCGTCCTTTCCAGCTCCCCCTATAGGAAACTTCCTGTCAGCATTTCTTTAAGTAAGTTCTCTTCCCTTTTTCTTTCTGGTATCCTTCCCTGACTTCCCTACTATGTGTGTCAGCTCACCTGCTGTTTAATAGTAAGACCCACTTCCTCTCTACACTTTTTAATGCTACTGGCACAAAAAGCAGAATACTTTCAAATACCTAAGATAGAAACAGCAAGCCACATTGAAACAGAGTGAAATCTCCTGTAAACTTACTGGAATTCTAGAGGATCTAAATTACATAGTTAACACACCTATCAACAATGGAGACGGATGGATAAACAGGAATTTTTCTGGAAGTTTGTCATTAAGTGTCACTTTAGAGATTTTTGGCCATTTCGGTGAGTGGTAACAAAAGAATCACTATGCTGTCTTTGATCTCCAGGAACATTCTGCATTTGAGGTTGTTCTCAAAGAGTTCCTCTGCCTTTCTGTTCTTATAGAAATTGGGGTAGGCAGGACTTGATGAAGAATCAAAAAACATAAGAGCCAAGTGTCCGGATAGATGGTCCTGGATCCCCACAGTTGATCACCATGATGGCCCCTTACTTCTTTTAAAGAAGTTCTTTTAATAAATGATAATGGAAGGAGGTATATAAGGTGTATTGATCAGGTATGAATTAGACCAAATCCTGGGGAAGTGAAATTGTTTTATCCCTTTCTAACGCTCACGGGTTTTGCTACTCTGCTTCACCCCACCCTAGACTTTTACTCTTTTATCACAATTGTTGATGATGGTTAAGGGTTTTGCTTGCTGAGCCTTCTTCAGGCTGAACAAATAGACTTTGTCTACCCATGGAGCAGAAGACTCTGCCCACACATGTAGGAGGGAGATGAGAAGTGAAGTGGCTTAAGGATTAGAGGAACATTGTTCAGTGGGGACATAGAAGAAAACCTGTCCTTACTAGAAAGGAATGGTCGTGTAACAGTCTGCTGTGTGTTTGACTATTTGTGACGTCTGCTGGATTCCCAAATGGGACATTTTCCCACCACACAGTCCCTGAAAACTAAGAGGAATGGCCTGTGATATTAGTTACTGAGAATATGGCAAGACACAAAAGAACAGTCTACGAAGTGCTAAGGTATTGTTTGAATTGCTTTTTACTCTTTTGACTTTTTGAGGAGCCACCACCCAGCTCCCAAGTAAATCACACATGCAGCTTATTCCTAGTTATGAATGAGTGGCCTTAGCTTGGCTTGTTTCTTGCCAGCTTTACTTAACTTACATTAACCCATCTACCTTTTCCCTCTGGGCTTTTATCTTTCTCGTCTATAAATCTTACTCTTCTTCTGTGGATGGCTGTGTAGCTGGGTGGATATTGGCCATTGAGCACTTTATTAGGACCACCAGGTGTTTTAGACAGACACAGTAACCCATCTTCATAGAGTTAAACAAAAGCAACATAAATAAAAGTCACACACCTACAAATCATATTCTACCACAGTAATGTAGTAGTTTGAGTTCACAGTCATTGGTCATATGTGACCACGTGTGCAGACTGGTGGACGACACAGAGGTCCTTCTGTCCCGCTGTGTGGACTGGCAGATGAACAGACTAAGTAGGGAAAAACTCCATCATCCCCAGGGGAAATGTCAGACCTTTTATTTCACGTTGATGCCTTCTTGTATTTCTATATATTTAGATCTTAGGGTACTTTCATTTCTGTTTATATGATCTTTGTGCCTAGTTACAGTTTTGGATGCTGATTGTAAACTACCATGCTCTAACTTCTGTCTCACCAGCACGACTGCCCCCTGCCTTCCTATACTAAACCTTCTTTACTTCATTTCTACTCCAGGGACCTCTCCATGACCTCTCACACCTCCAAATGAGGTGCTTTCCTAGTCATTCACATTCATCCCTTCTGTCTTCATCCACTCCTTTTTTCCTACCTAAATACCGACACTCTTAGCTCTAAAAACTATCTGTAAACTACACCTTCCCCAAGCACCACCCTGACGCCGCCACGGCTTCTGAACCTTGAGAGGAAGGCAATTGTAATGCAAGGAGTCTCCTAAAACTAGAGTCAGGTCTGCTGATAAATTAATAGGGTTGCTATTGTGCGCCTCCCAAGCAGCTGCAGAAAATTTAACTCATTATTACAAGCTTCTAGGATGCCTCACACAAAACAACAAAGAACTAGAACTATTATAAAAACCAGAGGATGAGGTTGAGATTTAAAATGATGTCTTCTGGATTTGACATGACCTCTGTACTCGTGAGTTAAAAAGGGGGTGTGGCTACCTGCACAGGCTTGGGCCACTCAACACTGACCATGGATGAGGAGGAGCTTGTGAACTCCCCCCCCCCATGAGCTATTGGCTGTTAATGATTTCTGGGGAAAGGAGGTCACATTAATCAGTTATAGCCATGGGGAAGTTGCCCTTGATCAAGTAAATAAACCCAACCCACCCATGCTCATGCAAGCAAGCCTAGTGAAAGTCAGTGGAACACACACAAACACAAGAAAATAAAGGGAGAGGACAGGTTGTGTAGAATGGATACAGAGCAAATGGTGGGGGGAGAGGTGAGAGAGGGCTATGGAGGAACTCAGTGAAGGCATCAGTCCCAGGCACTGGCCACGCTGTCTCCCATGATGAGCTGTGAAGGGCAATATCAAGTGCAGAATGGGTGAGTATTGCAATCCAGCCTCATAGAGACAGCAGATGGAGTCTGCAAGGATGAAGGTTTGGGTGGGAGACATGGTTAGCCACCAAGGGAGCAAAAGAGCACCAGCCAAAGAGAGGAGCTATTCCTTGGTAGGACCATTACATTCTGGCTTGAATTTTTAATCTTTAAATAGGATGTGTGTTCAAGTAAAACAACAACCACAAGGGGACAGGAAGAGAATTAAGACCATCTACCTAGGCTCGTGATGGTCCTGAAGGGTCAATGGACTGAGAAGACTGAACAGCCCTATACAGGACTCCCCACACCCTTTCTCATATCAATGTAGCCAGGGGATGTTGGAGGAGGAAATGCTGTGGCCAGGAGGTCATGATGCCCCACTTGGGTAATGGTTTTAATGAGGGACACTGGACTAGGTTTGATCCCTCTGAGTTATCTGCCATACTCCTGATGGAGCTTCCCCAGGTCCCTGAGGACCCTAGGCTTTCTGCCAATTCACCAAGAGAGGATGTCTATGAGGCATAGATTGTCCGGAGCCAGTGGTATACCTCTGGAGGCCAGTAGTTTGAGTCCCAGGCTCCACAGAGGACAGTGTTTCCTTAATTGGCCAACAGAGACTGCAAGTCCCAGCTCTACCATATAGAGTAACCTCCTTAACAGAGGGAACCCAACTACAGACACCCA